CAAGGAGCAAGGAGGAATCAAGTTGCTAGTCCAGCTTGAATGTTAGATGTCGCTGCATGGGAACCAGGCGGTGTCCATTCCGCTCTTTCCAAAGCTGCATGACGAGAATTGCTCATGACTCTGCGAAAGTTGATGATGTTGCCGGCCCATGGGCCTCCGCATGAACCGCCCCACGAATGGTCGCGTTGCCCCGTAATGATGCAGATGGAGAGCGGTATTCTTGCGCGGCCCACAAGATGAGATTGGCAAGAATCCGGGGCCGCGGCGGGAATCAATTCCGCGCCGGAGATCCAAACAATTGACTTCCGGGGTGAGCCGTGGGTCTCGGTTGACGAATGACCCTTGGGTATCGGCATCTCTGTGGCCTCGGAAGAATCTCGGTTAGGGGGGCAGCTGTTTCCTTGGCAGTTGGGGAAGAGCCATTTTGGCCCTCGGTCCCCGCTGGCTAAGCTGCACGCAACGGTAAAGCAGAGCTGTACATAAACGCCGAGCTGCCACTTCAGCAATGCCGTTAACCAAGGCCCGACCGGATGAGACCTCTTCCCAAGCGCCCTATTTCTAAGACGTCGGTCACCAGAAGCCATGCGTTGTTTGATTGCGACATGGATCATGAGTAGGCAGAGTTTAGAGCTATGGGAAGCTCGTCGCCAGTGAGCCAATGACGGCCAGGATTGGATGCTGACGCTGCACCTTCGGCTCCTGACATCGGATCGCATCTAGGCCCAGCTGCCGTTAACGCGTTAGCAATTTAGCCACCACGATCGTCGAAAATGACGGCCGGCGGCATGGCCAGAATGACTCGGGAACCTTCCCTTCCCAGCACTAGACAGGAAAGGACAGGACAGGACGGCGAGATGCCGCACTACCACGCCGCTCTCTCTGCCGAGGTGAATCAAGTCACACCTGCGTGGGGAGAAATGCGGAGAAGTGGGGGAAGCTATCTTTCTCCAAGTCTTGGACGTTCTGCATCTGGCTGCCGTAGCTGCAAGAAGCAGGGGGCTTTCGACGGGGTGCCGTCACAGTTGCCCAGGGCACAGCTGCGCAATGGCGAAAGGGACTAAACTCGGTCCAGCCCCCCGGCAAGCGGAGGCAGAAAAGGGAGGGCCCTTGGGTAATGGGGGGACCTAGCTGCCGTTCTCTGCCACTTTGCTGTCATTTTTGTTTTCCGTCAAATAAAGCCGGCAAGTGAGCTCTTCTCTTCACCGAGCCTCGTGTCCACTTTTTTCGTTCATTCAAAAGTCCCCAAGAACCCCCCATTTTCTGGAGCTGGTATTGACATTCTCACGATCCGACCTGCTAAGTGTGTGACAGGAGCTCTCAAGGTCGAGACGTCTTTTTCACTCTATATTTTCATTCCAGCTAGGAAGTTTCATCACTCAAGATGGTTTTCACGTCGCCAAGTTGGGTCCCCAAGCTGCCCATCGGTAAGACAAGCCCGCCAGCTATCCACGCCGTTGCGATGCGGCCAATGCTTATTCTTTCTTCACAGATCCTCCCGATTCAATCACAATCGGCGAGTTCATGAATAATGAGCAATACGGTCGCTACCCTCTCGCCAAAGCCAGAAACCCCTACACCTGCGGTTTGTCCGGCAGATCGTACACAGCATCCGAGGTGAAACAGCGAACCGATTACTTGGCGCGGGCGATCTCCAAGAAGCTCGAGTTCGCACCAAACGAGGGCACGGAGTGGGACAAGGTCGTTGCTCTATTCTCCCTCAACACCGTAAGTTGACCTGCTGCAAAATACCAGGCGCCCCAAGAAGCTGAGGCTGACATGTTCACAGATCGATTACATTCCCTTCACACACGCCGTCCACCGCCTGTCGGGCATAGTAACCCCGGCCAGTGCCGCGTATTCGGCTCAAGAATTTGAGCACCAGCTGCGATCGTCCAACGCCAAAGCTATCTTCACATGTATCCCGCTGCTCGAGACTGCGCTCAAGGCAGCCAAGGCAGTCAATATCCCCAATGATCGTATTTTCTTGTTGCCAGTTCCTGGCGTTGACCAGAAGACACCGTACGCCACTGTGGAAGACCTCATTCACGAGGGCAAGTCACTACCTGAGTTGGAGCCCCTGAAATGGGTCAAGGGACAAGGCGCACGACAGGTCGCATACTTGTGCTACTCAAGTGGTACATCTGGTTTGCCTGTAAGATAAGCTTGGCGACTGTGGATACTTCTGGCTCGACTAACACCAACTTCAGAAAGCCGTCATGATCTCACACCGAAACGTCATTGCAAACGTCATTCAATTCAGAACATACGAGTCCGTCGCCAGGAAAGAGCTTGGTATTGAGACACAAGCTGGCTTGGGCCTGCTGCCCTTCAGCCATATCTACGGCCTGGTGGTTGTCGCGCACTGCGGTACCTACCGTGGAGATGGGATTATCGTTCTCCCCAAGTTCGAGCTGAAGCAGTTCCTTGCTGCCGTCCAAAAGTTTAAGATCAACTGTTTACCAGTCGTAAGTTCGTCGTCGTTCGGAATTTAGCGCCGACCTCTAATTCGAGTAGGTCCCGCCGATTGTGATTCAGGTTATTCGCAACCAAGAGTTGTGCAGCAAATACGACCTCAGCAGCGTGCGCTTTGTGTACACAGGCGCAGCACCCCTTGGCGCTGAGACCGTCGAAGAGCTCAAGAAGCAATACCCGAAATGGAATGTCGGTCAAGGCTATGGTACGGCTGTCTTCATCCGCAAGCAACATCGAGCTGCGAACTGACAAATACTAGGCATGACCGAGACCTGCACTGTCGTTTGCACGACATCTGAAATCGATGTCGACGTTGGCTCTTCAGGATCCCTCGTCCCAGGTACCCGCGGAAAGATTGTCGACCCCACAACGGGCGAAGAGATCACAGAATACAACAAGCCCGGTGAGCTGCTCGTGCAGAGTCCCTCCGTGGTCCTGGGCTACCTACACAACGAGCGTGCCAACGCCGAGACCTTTGTTTGGCACGAGGACGGCCGTTGGATCCGTACCGGTGATGAGGTCCTTGTGCGCAAGTCCGCTGCGGGCAATGAGCATCTCGTCATTGTCGACCGTATTAAGGAGCTCATCAAGGTGAAGGGCCACCAGGTTGCTCCGGCCGAACTCGAGGCACACCTCCTTACCCACCCGGCCGTGTCCGACTGCGCCGTCATTCAAGTCCCCGATGAGCGGGCCGGTGAGGTGCCCAAGGCCTATGTTGTCCGCGCCGCTTCATACGCCAGCAAGCCTGAAGCCGAGGTCGCGGCTGACATCTGCAAGCACGTTGAGGAGCATAAGGCGCGGCACAAGTGGCTGAAGGGCGGCGTTGAGTTTGTCGATGTTATCCCCAAGAGTCCCAGTGGCAAGATTCTGCGCAGGTTGCTACGCGACCGGGAGAGAGATGCTAGAAAGGCCAAGGGCCCCAAGCTCTGAGGGCCGCGGTGTTGTGGTTTTGTACGACGGACTGGAGTGTTTAGATGGGTATGATTGATGTGAGGTTATCACCTAGACAGACAGGCGCATCGTGTTTGGATCATGTTATACGCGCTCTATGCTTATATTTAGCGATTACTGTCTACTACTCACTGTGCTGTTTCTGCTGAATACGAGTTCAGATTGACGGTTCCGAAACCACGTGCGTCCGAGCCCCTTGCTTCCCGTGAAATGTCAGCAAGCGTCGGAAGTCGAACAGAAAACAAGGTACACTGCTGCTCAACCCTGAGCTTATTTCTTTCGGCCAGGCCGTTTTCCAACACCGGAACCTAAAATGCGAAAACACCATTCGTCATCAACTCTGATCGTCAATCGCACTAGCATCCTCAAGACTGGCCAACCAAACCCCATAGGCTCCACGAGCCTCAATGCTTAGTATTCTTAGCATCCCTCCTTGGCCGGCGATCCAAAACACCAAGCCACGAAAAAGTCGCAGGAGGCGTAAACAAGCCCTTGACCGATCATCAAATATCCCGCGGCAGGAAGAAATAGCATGGAAGCAATCCACAAAACAAGCAGCAAGAAGGATAGAAAAGACACGATGACATTGGCAGGAACACACAAGAATGTGGGGGCGCCAGGCCCCCAGACCGGGGTCTGAGGCGACATGCCCCGAGCGATGGCAGACAGGGGTGCACCCAGCGCCGGGGTCGGTTTCGTCGACAACCTCAAACGTCTGCGACACCTTCTTGCACCGTGGATTCCATCGCTCCCGACTCGGGAGCAACGCGCCAAGCGAAACGCAGTCGAGGAATTGCAAGTCGGCCAGGCACAACACACGCTAGCTCGCGGCTGGCTCTTCCTTCCGACAACCCAGCCCATGTTCGCGACTTGAAAGCACCATGCTCTGATTCGTCCAAGACTCCCAACCCTACGGACAAAAGTGCTCGCTTCAAGTGTTTTGCATGCTGACTACAGCCGTTCGCACTTCGACTCCTCGGGAGCCTCAAACAACCTCCCACCAACCAGCGGGCGATCAGACCCAGACTGACTTGTCCCAACTCTCACACACAGCCGAGTCCAGGCGAAACAGCGACAACACAAGCTTATCCCCTTCTTTCGTCCCTGGTCCGTCGCCTGTCGATTTGAGATGGTTCGCTTCGTGACGGGCCTGTATGGCTCGCCTATAGCCTGAAGACATGTTCTCCTTTGGAAGGGCATACCGAACAAGCAACATGACTGGGCCCCAGGTTCGTCAACCCATCCCCCGGTTTTGGTTCACCCCCGTGCCACCATTCGGACGGCTGCAACCCATGCCCATGACGGGATGTGCTCGTGCAGCAAGACCGTTTATTCTTTTTTGCCCGCCTTAAGATAAACCTAACCTGCCACCCCCGATCCGTCTCTTGCCTCTCCTGACTCTTGATTTCCCCGGGTTTCTGGGAAATTCCGAAAACACCAAAAAAGAGTTCCAAGATATTTCCTTTCTTGATCTTCGTGGGAGAGCGACGCGCCGCGAGCTTGGCAGCCAGCAAACCCTTCTTTCTTTAATCTTCGATATCTTTAATATCACTTTCATTTCTCTTTCTTCGCCCAGGATGTTGACCGTCCGCTCCCCAGTCGCCGCCCTAGCGGTGGTGCTCAGCTTCCTGAGCCTGACCGATGCCGCGCCGCAGAACCGAGGAAAAGGAAATGGACGAGGAAACAGGCAGACGGCACAGCAGCAGGCCGCGAGGGTGCCGCAGGGTATCTCGCGTGCTACCGATGGATCCATGATCCTCGACATGACCGCCAACGTCAAGTAAGTACCTGAAGATGGTCAACCCGTGTAAGTGACCACTGGTCTCTAACAACCTTCAGTGGCCTCGACCTTCGCTTCAAGATCTCCGGTCCCGCCGAACAGTTCACCGCAGCAAGTGGCGTGCCCGGCGCTGCCGCCCAGCCCGGCGCTCAGGGCACCCTCGGCCTGAACGTACTCCTCCACGGTGACGGTGGCCAATCCTTCTTCGACATGCCGAACCAGGGCGTCCAGCAGAACCTCGCCGGCGTCGCCGTCCTCGCGCCCGACCCGAACCTCTTCTGGGGCGGCGGCCAGGGCCTCCAGCGCACCGACGGCGTCGCCCACTCCCAGGCCGTCAACGACCTCATCCAGCAGACGCTGCCGCAGATGATGGCCTTCAACCAGTCCAACGTCTTCTTCACGGGTGTCTCGGGCGGCTCGCTCATGCTCTCCGGCTTCTTCATGCCCGCGCACATGCAGAACTTCGCGGGCAACGGTGTGCTGCTCAACTGCGGCGGCCTCGAGCCCCAGGTCAACGTCCAGGACCCCGCCGCGATCGCCAACACGCGCATCCACTTCCAGAGCACCAAGCAGGAGCTCTCCAACCTGCAGCAGTCCATCCCCGCGGCCATCAAGGCGTACGAGCAGATCGGCACCAGCGGCGGGCTGAACGCGCAGGCGTTGAACGCGAAGCAGACGGTGAACAACTCGCCTAACGGCGGCCACTGCGCCTTTGACGAGCAGGGTTTCGTGTCGGGAATTCAGCTCATTGCGGACAACTACGCGACCATCATGCAGGGCGGCACCGGCGACGTCAACGGCATTGGAAACGTTCTGACTGGTGTTGCTGGTAATGAGAACTTGCAGTTCACCGGGTCGAGCAGGAGACGTGACGAGATCATTGGTTGAGATGGTGCGGCTTTCTCTTGGAACGAATATGATACCACACCTCTGTAGGGAGTCGAAGAAACGAAGATCAAGTTATGTGAGGAAGGTGTTGCTCCCGTGTTCTCCATGCCTGTGGTCCTGTGAATGCTGTGTTTGTGACCGAGACCGCCTATTTTTTCTGTGCTAGAGCGACTACTTTTCTTCTGGTTATATAGTCCACCTTACTGTCGTTGTCACTGCTATCGTCCTCATCGTTGTCGTCGTCCTCGTCGTCCTCGTCGTCGTTGTCGTCGTCCTCGTTGCCACTGGTATCGTCGTCGTCACTACTATCGTCGTCGTCGCTATTACTATCATCATTACTTCGACTACCGTCTTTAATAGGACAACTAACTACACAATAAATATAGCTGGGCAGACATGGGGGAAAAAAGGCGGTCTCATATGACCGACATTGATCAACTGAAAGCTCTAATCCCACACAGGACCGCCACACATGTTCACAGGCATAACAGTGCGTTGGTCCCACTATCAAGTTTGTCCTGAAAAAAGCAACTGTTGTTCACTAAATCTCCTATCTACACGACACGTAGATTGCGTTATTTCTGTCTTTCCGGCATCTCCACAGGTGACCTAAGCTCTGAGCTCAACATCTCTTGCGCCGCGATCTCATTCGCACTCATCTCGGGGACAGGATCCGGATACGAGCCTTCTAATTCAGTCGGAGGGATTTGGGGGGCATCTTCAGCGTGGAGCTCGGCCTTTTCAAACCTCTCCTTCTTATTGTCTGCTGTCGGTAGAAGGGCGTGATGCCGCTTACGCCGTCGCAAGAACCACCATCCGAAGGACAGGAGAATTATCGCGCAAATGGAGCCCACGACAGGGCCAGCAATCCAGGCGTTGTTTTCTGCAGCCGGAGTATCTGCTTTTGGAGATGGTTAATTACGAGAGCAAAGCGTTACATGAACGCAGGACGTACTTGTCTCGATTGCGCCAGTGGATGATACCGGCAGATCGCTCAGTGATACGGATGACACGGCGGTCGAGCTCGTCATTAACGTCAACAGGTATGTCGTCACATGAGTCTGAGTTATCGTCTCAGATTGCCCGTCTAAAGCCGTCATCACCAACGTAGTCTGGTAAGTTTCGGTCGTCATTGGGAAATTCCTAGCACAGAACTCTACCCATTCCGCTAACCTTTCCACCGCCAAGGAGCCAGAAGTTTCGTTGGGGTTTGCTTCGGTGCAACTTTTGCATCGACCGTAGCTAAGTTGGAAATCCGATTGAGGCTCACAAATCGAAGGCGATTTGCCGACCGCCATGGCTTCGACATATGCATCATCTGATCAGAAGCAGATTAGACAGGCCTCATTACGCATTTGAAGCAGGAACACCTAGGACTTGCTGCAGGGAGTGAAGCACACAGCCGGATTCTGCACCGCGGTTGATGGGCCGCTAGTTGTAGTTGATGAATCAGAGGTTCCGGTTCCAGTGACGACAGGGCCATCAGTGGAACCTGGTGATGTGGACATATCCGGTACGCCAATTCACCGGCGAACTTTCTGTGCTTATTCTTGTGCAAGCGGGAGCAGGCGCTGTGGGTTGGGACGAAAAGTAGATGGAGTTTGACAAGTGTAAGGTGGAAAAGGCGACTGCAAAGGCCTTAAGGGGCGCTGACGCCAACACCAAGGGGATCAATACAATCTTCCCGTGGCTCAAGCAAGTAGTGTTCTAATTGGGTTGATTGGACGCCATCATTATGAGACATATCGCGAGGAAGGATCAACTCGAGCATGTCGTGACACCTTTGATCTGAATTGATTGGTCGCCTGCTTGATTTTTGAGCGCGCAGCCTCTGCCAAGGTGAATCGGTGCATCAATCTTTCTTGTTTCTGCTGTTTGATAGGATATGAGCAGGTTGTGTACTGAGGAGAAACGCGCAGTGCCGAAGCCCATTTGGCCTCCAAAACCTGAACGCTCCTTAATCACGCCCAGATTTGTTCCTGTCCTCTTTGACACCTCCATGTCCGCTGCTTCCAAGTTTATTCTTATCACTGCTCATCTCATTACCATCGGCCTCACAGTCATCGCTCGCGTTCCAATCTTTGTCTTCCACTTGGTTTGTTTTTGACTCTACTGTTGATTCCATCGTCAGTTTTCCAGTTAAGACGAAAATATGTGTCTTTGAAAACACACCGGAAGCACTTTTTTCCTTTGAAAAGTAACCATTTTCCCTAGGTGACCCTGCTTAGTCTAACTTCCATCCTTTCGATTCTCCTGGCATCTGTACAGGAGTTATGCGATCCGGGTCCAACATCTCATGTGCAGCAATCTCGTTTGCGCCTATCTCAGGGACCTCTTTTGGGTAGGAGCCTTCCAGTTCGATGGCGGGCTGGCGAGGCAAACAATCCGAATGAAGCTGCGGTTTTTCAAACCCTCTGCCGTCGTCTGTTGCGTTCAATGGACTCACTTTCTTCTCTCTACCCCACCTCGCGGACCACAGACCGACCGCGAGGACTAGCACAAAACTAGTCCCTCCCAGGACAACGCCGACGATGAACCCATACGGCTGCGGTCCTATTCATCCATGATGCTGTCAGATGCGAATCAATTTCATCGAAATACGAGGAGATAGTTTTCTTCAGCGCACCTGAAAATCCACCCGAATCGTCTGACACCGCCGATTGAGAGGTGGATATCGATGTAGCCTGCGAGCTCAGCAACTCCGGTCTCACTTCGACCACGGTGGCTACCACAGGCTGGGGGTGACCAACGGTATCACCGAGTTCCGTAAGGACGAAGATTTGTGCGCGGGTCGCGGTCGTCAACATTGACTGAGGGTATGGGCTTATGATTCCGAGCCTCGAGCAGTAGTCCGTAAATTGCTCGAAAACTTCAAAGACATCATTCAGAGAAGGCTTTTTGTCTTCTGGCGCGGTAACTGCACACTCTACGCATGCTTTGAAACACTTCTTGAATGGGGAATCGGGAAAGCAGAGCGATGGTATCGTTCCGGGTATCTGTGCTCCGCTGTAGCAGTCGTCTAACATAGCTTCATTAGCGACGAATTGAAAGTGACCATTTCGGAGAACATACTGCATGTAATCCAGCATGATGTTGGTGGTTCGGACTCGCTGGTGACTGATGCTGTTGTGCCATATCCACTAGAAGCAGATAAAACCGCTGAGGTGCTCGCTGCATTTTCTGTTGTTACGGACATTGGGAAGTTCTTGCAACCTTCTCCCTCAGTTGTCCAGTGACATCAGCGGTGAGAGCTTGCAAATTGCGTCTCTTGCCTAAGGAACAGCCAAATGCTGACAGCCTTAACGGCGAATAACCACTAGAACGATAGTCAGGACCACAATGAAGGCGATGGAGAGAACGAAGGATATATGCAATGTGTGAGACCTGACCTGCTGTCTCGTAGCATGAAGAAGAATGAGCTTCACTGTAATCGAAGAATCAAGCTTGAATATATGGAAAGAAAGGAGAAGTGTGCCACGTCTTTCAAGCGAAAGGTCCAGAATGGGACCTGACCTGCGTGTGACCGAGACATCAGTTATCGTGTCACTCGAAACCTTGTTTAGGTTGTTGGTCCGAGGCAGGAAGACTCAAGATAGATTAGCTTGCCACACAGTCCTTGAGCTTCGGCGAGGACCTTCGGGTGGGTGCATACAGTTGCTTGAGTTAGGAAGTACAGTATGAGTTTGTAGTGATATACGCAGGCCTCCAACGACCAAAAGCCCGTGGAAATCCGTGTTAGACGGGCACCCTAGGAATGCCTATGAAATCTTATCTCGGATTGCCCTCATGTGTGTCTCTCTGGCATCTCGTTCACCATTTGTCTGTCCTTCTCAGGAACCAGCATTTCCTGAGCTGGAACCTCATTCACCTCCATCTCCGGCACGGGCGTCGGATACGAGCCTTCCAGTTCCATAGGAGGCACCTTTGGTGCGTCGTCGGCGTGAAGCTCTGCCTTTCCATACTTTCTTACTTCGTCACTGCTACCTGGTGCTTCTGAGAGCTTGGCCTTTCGACCTCTGCGCCGGCGCAGGAACCACCAGGCTCCCAAAAAGAGCAGGATTGCAGCGATAACACCGATCACAGGCCCGGCAATCCAGGCACTACTCTTGGTAGGTTTTGGTTCTATCATAGTCAGATATGAGCCTTCATACATACGTTCATAGCCATTCTGACCTGCGGTTTCGCTCGGCAACACAGCAGGGGAGGTTGTGGCAACAGTGCTTGTAGCCTCCTCCCTCAATTCTGTGACTGTAGCTGTCACTAGAGTACCCGATTCAACTTTTCCATCAAGTTGCGTCACGTCCCTTAGCTCTGTGCGAGTTCTAGTTATCCACATAGATGGTTCGTAGGAAAGCCAGGAAATTATCGCCGATGACGGTAGTGCACCTGCGCAGAAGTCCAAGTATTGTTGAAACTTCGGCGCGTACGTTGAGGCCCATACTGCCTTCACGTCGTCTGCATTGGCTTCAATGCAACTGTTACACCTCATGTAGCCTTTTTGAAATGATGAATCGACTTCGCATATCGCAGGATCCTTTCCGATACTTTGAACCTCAGTATAGGCATCATCTGTAACACATTGATCAGTTTCATAGCATGCTTTTCGAGGCCCGATACAAGAAATCGTACTGCAAATGGAGTAGCATGCTGCTGGTAATACTGTCTCGCTGGATCCCGTGGCAGAAGGTGCGGGAGAAGATGATGATGGCGCTTGTGGGTTGGTTAAACCAGTGCTCACCACAGTTGGGGGATCCGACGTGGATGACATGCCGCAATGTAATACGTTGGTTTTCGAATAGAGTAGTTGGCTTCTGCAGGATGATCTCTTTCACTAACACTCTACCGTCAGCTCAAGAGAACAAACTATGCTACGACTTGCTGAAGTCCGGCAAGTGTCAAGCTTTTAAAGACGCAAACCACTTCGTATGCAGCGGCATCCGAACACCCGTATGGGCTTATCTGCAGGATATCAGCTGCCCAAACAGCCCTAGCTTCCTCTTTTAAGGGGGAAAGGATGGGCGGAAAACTGTTCGAAGCCGGCAGGCTAGGTATGCTGTGATACTCAAAAGCTCACCTAAGTGGCGGCAAGTCTTCGCATTTCGAATCTGCATTCGGCTCAACTTAGTTAGCGTTGCGCCAGCCTGGATTTCGACGTGCATTAGGCATCGAATACCAATCAGTGTAATCAAAGTTATGATGTGGCTGGGTTGTGAGGGAGGGGGCGGCAGGGGGCGAGACGCAGCCTGATTTTGTATGGCGTTCTTATGTATGGATACAAACTCCAAATACGACCTTGTCAAAATAGGCTCGCTTCAAGTTGAAATTCCATGATTTTTGTTTTCCATGCCTTTCGCCGATAACGCATGAAGAAAGTGCGAACAAACATGCAGGGAATAAAACGTCATGCGTGTCTCTCTGGCATCTCTGCCACTGTGGTTGACACCAGCATTTATTGAACCGGAACCTCGTTCGCTCTCATATCCGGTACGGATTCAAGACAAGGGCCTTCCATCTTTATGGGAGGTCCGCTAGCAACATGGTCTGCGTGCAGTTCCGGTTTCTCATACTTATCATCCGCACCATTGTTGATGACTGCTGGTGATGATGAGTTTTTTCCGTCTGCGTCGCCGTATAAACCAGAAGCAAGTGAGAGCCAGCAGGATGGCACATATACTGCCGACGATGGGCTCAACCATCCACACGTTGCTGTTTTGGGCTGGCACCGAATCTGTTATACCTAATGTAAGTTCTGGCTCGTGTTTTGAAGGACGCGGATTTCCCCATACGGGCTGGTTCCAAAGCAGGAGTAGTCTCTTTTGTGGACTCGTTTCGAGAGGTTCTTGCCGACGAAGTTGAAATAACGGGCACTACTTGCGTCTTCGCTCAATTCGGTCAAAATGACTATGATCATTGCTTTTGGCGTCAGAACACCGCGGGTGATATCTTTGATGTCCGAGATGATCGTGCACGTGCGGGTTATCAACTGAGACGGCGCATACGACTTTGCGGATGCCAATGACGAGCAATAGTCGAGGAATTCCCAAAACCTCGGGTCCAAATATCGATCTTTCGTGAGATTTACATCTGGAGCATTGGCTTCTATGCATGACACGCAGATGGCCTAGCTAAACGGGAAGGGCGAGTCCGGTTCGCAGAGAGCAAGACTCTTCCCAACGGACTGAGCCTCTGCATATGCATCATCTAGCGCCGATGCAGATTAGAGCTTGGTTTCATGAGGGCCAAATTGGAGTCTCATGAACACCTACTGCATGTTGAGAAGCAGACAGCTGGCACAACTGTGTCATCTCTTTCTTCCTTCGAATTTGTTTCTAATGTCGATGCTGCTGACATTACTGAGGTGGAATCAGATGCCAGAAGTGTCACTTCCTGTCACGGCGTGATCTCGGCACACCTCCTGGTGATTTTGAGGGAAAGTTGCGTCGTACGGCGGGCTGCAGATATGGGCAATGGTTGAGTTGCTCGTTCAAGCAGAGGGGGAAGCGCACCGTCCTATATACGATCTCCACAGGTACCGGCTGTTCAGACCTTCTTGGCCACCCATCACGATTATGACTGTGGGCTGAAAGTTGTTTAACGTCGGCTCCTTATGGATACCGTGGCACGCAAAATCCCATCTCAATGGTTGCGATCCCTCGCACTTTGGGAGGACGGTTTCAGCTAAAAGGCCCTCACTCACAGTAAGCCTTTCCGGGTGTAAATATTCGTGACACTCTGCCAACCAATTATTCAAGTGAACGGTAGTTTGTGACCAAGACCCGACTAGTGGAAAGGCAGGAGGAGACTTTGACGCAGATACAAGCTCCGCATATGAGGCTAAATGGCCATGGGAGATTGTGAATTCGATCGAGAATGCGTTCAGAAGACATCCCGTCAATGCGGTAGACAACGAATTATATCATATGAAAGAGACTGTTCTGGTTGTACGTCTCTCGCGTCCTCCGCTACGATGTCTCGGCTGCGTGCTTCCAAGCCTCAAGTAAGTAAAAGGATTGGGGTCATGATCTCAAATTGTGAGAGTAAAAAGTTCATCCATCATGGCTTGTAATGTTGCATGCCAAGCGTCATTTTTTGAGGAAGTAGGTTCTATTGCTCCCGCCTTGCTCCTGCCATCCGAAGGGCCCGTTTGCCTCAGACTTTTTACCGCCAGCTTTGAACCTTTCTGAATCACTGACACTGAACTTGGCACACCTTAGCTGGGTAATCTGTAAAATCATCTCTTCGAGAGGCAGGTAACGTCCGTACCTTCGCCTTCTGCTTTTATCAACCCTCCCTCCCGGGCTTTAGTCGGGATCAGGGCTTTATTTATGTTCAACTGCAAACGACTTCGGCCCACAACCCCCCGGAAACACTTCACGAGGGGAGGAATACCGCGTCTTTCTAGCAGTCAACATCAGCAAGAGTTTTTCTTCTCCCATTCTTCGCTACTATCATGTCGACAGTTTTACTTGCGCACTTCCTGCCTCATAACATCGCCTGTTCTGTATCCAGCCTTGTTGCTAGATACCTACCTATCCTGTGTTGGCTCCTCCGACGTTCAACTTGGCGAGAGCAAACGGCCTCTTTCCCGACTTGAAGAGCGCACTTCAAAATCATCTGGGCTGGCTGCATTCTCTGCCTCCAGCACCTGACCTGCCAAATCCCACCTGCATCGCGCCTTCTCAAACCAAGCGACCGACCTACCTCTTTTTCAACACCTTTCGGCTACCTGCCTTCTCTTTTTATCCCACTTGCCTCCTCCCACTTACTTCTTCCACCTCACATCTTCAGGCAGGGCACACTGTTCCCCGCTCAGCTTTCTCCCACCGTCTACCTTCCCACAACAACACCGACTTCGTAGGTGTTGTGACCTTCTCCCATCCCGATACTTTCTTTCGCGTTTTTCTGTCGACGTCTTTGTCGCTTTTTCGACGACACAAAATCAAAGTCGGCATTGTTCGCGTCTGCTAAGCCAGCTCTTACGGTTTTTCTCAGCAGATGGACCTCACAGCCGTACCCAGAGTAGGTAACTTCCTGATTTTCTTCGCATTGGACGGCGATGATGAGGAAGGCAGTGAGAGGGACAGATACCCTCTTCAGGTGATAGCCAGCCCCTCCATCTACCTACCTACCTTACCTGGGTAGAAAGACATGGGATCTCCTGGGCCGTCGTCCTCTGTCGTCCTCGTTGTTCAGCATCATCATCCCTCACTACTTCTCGCTGAATTTCGTGCTGACCAATAAAAGATGGCAGAAATTTCTGGAGAGGCGGAGAATGGCTCCCGCAAGACCATCGACGTTGCTGGTGATTCGGCGGAGTCGCACTCTCCGGTCCCAGAGTCTGTTCCGGCGCCGACGCAGTTTGTGGCCCAGTTCAGCGAGACTGAGCAAGCCGCGAACATCCAGCTGCCTTCGTCAGCTTCATCTTCAGAAAGCGGCGAGCCAGCGCCCATGCCTTTCACGCCTCCCGAGGATGGAGTTGCCGGAGCAAGCTTCTTCGTCGACCCTCGACGCCTCTCCACGTCTGCAGTGCCTGGACTCGAACCTAGCGATGAGGACTCAGATGACCCGATGGCGGTATGTGTCGTAGGCAAGATTTGCCAACTCTGCTAACCCGTTCGACAGGAAAAGAACCGCAGTTGTGGCCCTCGAATGGTTCATTCGTTCAAAGACCAAGAGGAATTCGCCCTGGCTCATCGTGAGGGAACCATCATTGAAATGGCCAATGAGGAGGCTACCTATCGGCGATTCAACACCAGGACAGAGTCTACTCATGCCTGGGTCATCAACGCCTTGCCCCCACCCTCCAGTCTCATCGCTTCGGACTTAGAAACCAGCTGGCTCGTCCTCGTTGAACTGCCAGCGGATCAAGACAAGGTGTTCCCAGCCGAGGAATCTGCATGTGATATCGGATTCAAGTATGATTTCACGATTGGTGGACATGTCTTCAATCCCGGTATGATGAAAGCCGAGCGTGTACCCAACGTGTTCGATAACGGCCAAGATAACGGAAGTATCTTCAACGACTACGCCAGGCATGCGGCTTTCAACGTCACCGCCCCGTACATGAAAGATCCTGTCAGCCGTGAGAGGTACCACCCGTTGGCAGAGATCGCGGTTTCGCAGCGCTTTGGTGCTCTTCAGTTCCCCCCTTTGACTTCTGCGAATGCTGTCATGGTCACTATTCGCGTTGCGGCTCGGCTTGTCACTCATGATACCGAACTGAAGGCTTTGTCCACGCTGATGCAGCGTGAGAGAAACCTGAGCGCGCTGGCACAGAGGGCACGCCACACGTTTGATTACATGCTGGATTTCCGGAAACCGCCTACCTTCTACGTCGACCTCTTCAGAGAGCTGCCACATATGGATAACCCAGCGGGCAATCCTCAAACCCCAGCCCACCTCAAGTCTCTTTACAGCGGGCTCAATTCTGACCACAAGAAGGTGTACGAGCAATTCCGACATATCCCGGCAGGGCTGGCGCTAATCCTGGGATGCCCCGGTGCTGGAAAGACTGCACTGAATGCATTCATCGCTGCAATGGCTCTCTCGGCCCCTATTCAAGAAGAAGTTGACAGCAAGACCGTCACCAGACCTGCAAAGGTTCTCTATCTTCTTGACGTGAATGCGCCGTGCGACGATGCGGCAAACCGGGTGCACAAGACATGCAAAGAAGCCGGCATCAGAGCATCGGTCATTCGAGTTCGTGGATGTGCTCGTGAGATGAGCCGCAGCGTCAAACTGCACCCGCCTGCAAAGGGTCAGAATGATGTCGCAGGAGATGTCCCGGACTTTACCAGGGGCTTCCTCATGCAGTCTGAGATGTCGCGAGTCTGCAACATAGGCCCAGCTAGCATCGACAAGGCGCCATCTCTCGATGAAGCCGCGTGGAAGGCATTCGACAAAAAGAAGTCCCGATACAAACAGCTTGCGCAGGCTCTCCAGAAGCTTGAAGGCGACGTCGTCAAAACTCGAAGAACTTCCGCGGAGCTGAGAAGACTGGTCGCAAACCTGTACTTCGATGTTATTCGAGCTGCTGACTTCATCGCGACTACCCCTGTCGGCGCATCGGGGCAGATGGGCACTCTTTTCAAGCCAGACCTCGTGTTCGTCGACGAAGCAGCCCACGCAAGAGAGTTGACGTCTCTCATTCCCTTGGCATTCACTCCAGCTCGAGCATACATCTTCACTGGCGATACTCGACAAACCAGACCTTTCGTCCAAGGTGCATCCATGTCGACCAGAGAGGCAGGACAAAAGATGCTGAAGCTGAATCCATACGCAAAGCAGCTTATGATCAGCACGATGGAGAGAGCTGACCTTGCCGGCGCTCTCAAGAGCAAGCTGCTGATTACGCACCGTAAGTCGCTCCTGTTTGTTTGTCTGTTGCACTTGCTACCATGGCCCCTGTTGTTGTCCGTCTTCCGCTGTCGTCATTGTCCGCTGCCGTCGTCGTCCGCTGCCGTCGTCGTCGTTGTCACTGTTCATTCAATGAAGTTAGGCTAATACGATCCAGGAATGTACGGAAATCTGCACATATTAGTGTCTGAGCTATTCTACGACGGGCTTCTGAAGTCGGGTATGGCATCAATCGATCGATACCCCCTTCCAGTACTACACCTCCAGTCTTGGCTGAGCCAGTTCATGCCTGGCCGCCATTGTGTGGTCCCGCGAGTGATGATTCATTGCCACTCAGCTCGAGAAAAGACGGAATGCCGCAGCTTCTACAACCCAGCCCATGAGTCTTTCATCAAGCAACGCTGCCTGGAGCTTCTGAGCAACCCCAACTTCACTCGAGTCGATAGGTCCGACCAGCCTGGAAGAATACTGATCATCACCCCGTACAAGGCGGCATTCAACCGCTACAAGCAGTTCACGTCCGTCCTGCCTCCCCACCTGCGTGGCCGCTTACATGCTGAGGAGACGCACAACGCGATGGAAGCAAGAACCGTCGACTCGGCACAGGGCCACGAGGCGGATTTCGTGTTCGTGGACACTGTGCGGACGAAGACAGCGGGCTTCCTGAACGACCCCAAGCGCCTTTGTGTGATGCTTTCGCGGGCCAGAGGCGGCGAGATGATTTTGATGAACGAGGGAATGACCACTCGCATGAGGTCTGGGGTCGAAGTTCCCGCAGAATGGACCTCCCGTGTTTTCGAGCATTGCCGCGGCAATGGCCAGCTGTGCTACATTTGAGGTATTTTAAGGGGTGCGCAGGATATGGATGCGATGTGTGCCGTGTGGGATTGAAATGGGCAAAAGCTAGTCAGTTTAGTTAATGAAGAGTCCCGTCTCCTTGCCTTTAATTCCAGCTTCTAAAACACGATGATAGACACCAAGAGAGGTGATAACGATAGAGATAGTGGAGGCGAGAAGGAAGATAAAAGAGACGACGAGAGACGACGAGAGAGATAGTAGAGACGACGACGGAAATGGAAGAGACGGATGTTGCCAAGAGGTCATCGCAGCCATCAATCATTACTGAGTATCGTGTTATGAAGACTCGCCAGACGATCTTGTGGGACCCGGGGATATGCACGAGTGATGGACCTGATGCTAGAGCAAGTGTCTCTTGTGAAGGCAATCACCGCCAAGACAATCATCGAAGAGCCCATCTACGATTTCGCGATCATTTCTATGCATATTGAGCGCCAAGGACGTCTCGTTCGACGCCGAGCAGATTTTGTCGGCCGAGATGTCGTTGACATTGTGTGGGCGCATGGTATCGTATGCGGCAAGTAACCGCTGGGCCGGGTTCTGTGGCTATTTTAGCCCGAGACCTTGTCGCAGAATAAGCACCAATTTGAGTGCGCAGGATCCGCCGTGACAGGGGTCTGCTCACCATAAGGAGCGAGCCCCTGGAGATTTTCCCCAGTGTCCAGCTGGACAAGCAAAAGGGCAGTTTCCATAGGCTGGCACAGTTTGGCTGGCAAGTTGGAGGCAAGGGTGATGCTGTCAGTGTCAACGCATGTTGCGCGGACACTGTCGTCTCTCATGCCGTTCCTGCTGCTGTAAGACAGAGGTTTGAACACGATGAAACTTTGAGCACGTAAGATGGCCTTCGTTTGGCATTTGACTCTGCTTCTGCTTTCTGCGGCAGTGTGAGGAAATCTTGTGCGGCAGCCGTATTCTCCCCGTGGCAGCTGCCGGCATCTCGGTCACGGATTGCGATCATCTCCGCTGAAGTATTCTGCCCACCTGAAAAGTACGGATAGTCCTAACGGTGACGGAGCTTGACCCCACCAACTAAGGGTTTTGACAGGGTCTGGTGCTCACGGAACATTCCTCACAGCGCTCCACGGTCGTCGCCCGCGGGAACCATGGCCAGTGGGTGGCTGGTGGCAGTGAGGAGCGGTACGGATACAGGATGACGGGGCACAACGGCCAGGACTCCAGGGGAAAGGGACTTGCACTGAAAGCTTCCACCAGTCCTCGGAGAATCAAGTACCAAGTCCAAGGCAGGGGTCGTGGAGAGGCCGTGTGGCGGGGCAGGAAATGGCGCTGCGGGCGATACGATTGGATCACTCGCGCCAATCCGCCGGAATTATGGGGGCAAATTTTGATAGCGAGATACCTGCACGTGGCCGCAATCTTCGCCTAGACCCGGCTTTTCTTGCTCTGCCCGGCCACCTTCGTCGGCGGTTTTCAATCTTCACCCCACCAGCCCGCCTGAGCCACAAGTCGCTCCAATGTAGCTCCTTACTCTGAGGCCGACGTGGAGGCGGGAGGCAACCCAGTCCAAGCTTGGCCTGCCTGTGACCCTGAAAGTCCACTCCAACTCTCCCCGTACACTTGGAGGGTACAACGCCCGCGCTTTGGTGAGGCTGAAGACCTGCACCGGCCTAATTAATCCAACTGCCCCCATTACACTGCTGACTTGGACTGCACCTCATCCGTTTCCTCTCTCGTGGGCTCATCGCCATCACGGCGACCGCTCATCCACAGCAAACTCCATCTCACCAGCTTTACTCACTACGAATCCCGTCGCTCGAGGACGCGGTATCGATTGCTCGTCCTCTCATCGCACTCGCCGTCTCCGCCGCCGCCATCCGAGTGTCACAGGTCCCTGGGGGGTGGTTCATGTGGTGCAGCGAGTGCTGACGCGTGGTGCCTAGAATGGCTCCTCCCGCAGCCTCGTCTGAGGGCATTGCCGCCCAATCAGACCTTGGCGACACTGACGACACCTCATCATTAGCAGCTTCGATTGACATGGACCGATTCAGGCTTCGCGGACAGCCGCTGCCTCTTCACTCACGCTCGACACTGGAACCTCGGAGTGAGGCATTATCTAAAGGAGGCCTTGCCGGCGTTATTGTTGGCATCGTTCTCTTCTTCGTACTTGCTATCATTTGCGCCTACCCCTTCATAATCCGTCGCATTAAGGGCAAGAGAAATGGAACGAATCGTCTGGACACGGCGGAAACCGCCTTCATCCCCACGCCGCTCCGTCCATCGGGAAACGTGCCCACGACTGGTCCAGCTGCGTCTAGCCGCATGTCATCACGAGACTCATTGGGCAACAAGACTGAAGCTCTTCAAGGGCCGGACCGGCAGTCAACCAAGGAGCTGAACGTCTCATCCCACGGCACCGACCCATCCAAACGAGATTTGGGCAGCTACCAACGTGGCTATACCGGCGACGACAGCTCTCATGCACCAAGCGTTACCACCAGACGCGGTACTGACCACACCTTCGGCCGCGCCCCTACCTGGAAGAGCGAATCGTCTTATCCATGGACTCCAGTCGGCATAGAGCTGGTCGCTACTCGGGCTGACGGAATGGAATACTCGGATGCCACTCAAGGACACAGTGCTACTTACTACAGCCCGACCATCCCTTCTGAGGCCTTTGGCATGGTCACCCCGCCTCCTACAGATGAACCTGTTCCTGCGCCACCGAGGCGATCAAGCTCCTACGCCAGCTCCCTGGCCAAGAACCTTCTCCAAATGTTTCCCAACCGTCGGTCAAGCACCAAGGATTCTCAGTCGAGGGGAGCAAAGATGCAGCCAACGCCGGAGTTGTTGAGGGAGGGCTTGTCAGACTCGCCAACTCAGCTCACCGGCCCATTCTCCCGCGAGATAGAACCCGGCGCGACCTCTACGCGCGGACAGCTGGGCTCTCCATTCAACCCGCCTAGCCCCAACTCAGAGCCTGACCAGGCGCAAGAACCGGGAATCACAAAGGAGGGAAACCAGGAGTCTCCGCCAATTTTGCCGCCTGTGTCGCCTGCACCTGGAACTGTCAACCCCATGGATATTATGGCGCCGTCGAATTTGACCGAGCAGACCTGGCACACCAACCAGCAACTTTATAGCATTGCTCACCCGCCCCCCAAGCCTGTTGAGCCAGTCCTGGTTCCTGAGCCATCACAAGCGCCAACCCCGCAGTCCCCGGAGCAGCCTTTCGAGCACCACCAGCAGTACCTACAACAGCAACAACAAGATCAACAGCAACAGCCACAGCAAATACAGCAACAGCAGCAGCAGCGATGGGATCAGACAGGAGTGGCGAATGGAGGACTTGTTGCGAATGGCAATGGACATGTCCAAACGAACGGCTTTAAAGCCTCGGCCGGTGGTCGTCCCACTGAACACGATGTCCGCATGAACGATGTGCCCCAGCAAGTTGACCCGACTCATCTTATGCCTGACCGGACCAACCACTACTTTGAGGGCGAAATAACCGACCCGTCTGAACATTCTCCCCAAATGGGTGGTCACGTCTCATCCGGGGCATCGTATCAGACGACGCCGAACACCCAGATCGACAGCAGCCCATCGCCTCCGTCAGACAATAGCTCAGATATCCGCAACAGTGCCTCGCCGTATCCAGGTCTACAACAGCAATCTCCGCGCACATTTATGTGTGATGAGTGCGGCAGATTTTTCGATCAGGTTCACAAGTTAAAGTAAGTCGCTTCGCAGGCTGTTCGCCGTCCAAACACTAACCGACATAGCCACCACAAGCGGTATCACGAGCGACCGCATGAATGTACTGAGCCAAATTGCGGCAAGAGATTTGGAACCAAAACCCATTTGGACCGCCACATCAACGACAAGCACAGGAAGACGAAGAAATTCCATTGTACGGTTAGCACTTGCCCTTACTCAAAAACAGGCGGCAAGTCGTTCCCGCGAAAAGACAACTGGAGGAGACATATGGTCAATATTCACCAAGTTACGCCCATGGGCGATCCGGAACCCGATTTAGTCGACGAAATTATGGGAGGAACCTGAGCGTGGCAAAACGGGCGTGCGCCCGGTTGACAGGTGCCAATACTAGTTCATCGGAAGACCCATTGCTGTTTTGGTCATTGACCCCAGCAAACGGCTGGGTTCCGACGCCTGAACGCGAATGGATGACGGACGATGCTTGGGAAGTGGTCAGTCGAGTATTTGACAGACGCGTGAACTTGCAAGCAGATTACCCCAGAGCCTCCTTGTGGCTCTGATACGCGGGTGCAAATGCTTGACTTCAGCAGAGCTGGATTCAGGTCGGCAACTCAAAGAGGAAGCCAAATCCCCGCGACGCTCACAGGCACCATTCTTTCTTGCCACAGAGCAACCTGTTTATATATCATTGGATATCTTCCCCTACGGTTTGGGAATATTAGGCAATCAAGGCACATTCGTTCAGGGACTGCGATGATAGCAGTAAGGCGTTTTGATGCCAAGAGTTGGCTGGGGAAACATGTAGAATAGGCCAAAAAGCATCACGGTGGCGCGTATGATTAACTCAAATCTTTGATTAAGGACCTGACAAGCTTCTTTTGTTGGTCGATCGAGAGTCCGCGCTCGTCTGTCTCCTGAATGGCTCTTCCCACCGCGATAATGACCTTGACGCTCTCGCTATTCACCCAAATCTTGCCGTTGCGGCCCACGGCCGTCTCAAACGCCGCACCTGTCGCACCCAGCTCCTCTAGAACCACAAGGTCCGTCGTCTTGGGGCTCAGCAGGCGACGCGCCATGCCAAGGGAGATGTTGAAGAGCATGCCGCCCACGAGAGGTCCCAGACCGTCGGCCTTGCCGGTGGACTGGTAGACGCACTCCAGCTCGGGGTCCATGTGTTTGTTCGCAAGAGTGACGCGCGCGTAGACGAGGGCGCCGGATTCAAGGTGAGGACGGTTCTTCTTGGACGCCATCTCGAAGGCGAGTTGGGGGAGGATTGCAGGCGTCGAGTAGTCGGCCAAGAGGAC